AATTAACTGTGTGAAATTATTCCATTTTCGACCAGTACAGAGAAATAAAGAAGGTTGGAGAGCTATTGTGATTGATAGCAGTAACATGTTCCTGGCTGGCAGTTGTGTTAGCGGTTAGCTTGCCTGCTACAGTAGGTCACCAAGTACCTGGGATTAGTCACTCCCTTGCCAAGTTTCTATAACCACGAAGACATGCGGATTAACTTTGCACCTTAATGGAGTGACCAGGTGAGTTCAGAGTCTGAGCTGTCACTCAAATACAGACACAGTCAGTGTGTATGTTGTGAGGTAGCTTCAGCCAATGTCTGTACAGCTGATATATTTCCAAAAAAAAAAGTCCAATGGTCAACTTTGTGTGAGAAACGCAAGGAAAAACTTCATGTTCTGTCTGAGCACATCTTTCTATGACTCAGTTATACACCCAGTGCACACCATGGTCAGCAGTTCTCCTTCGCTGCTAAAAACAGCCTGACAAGACCCTGCTTCCACTTTCTGAGTTGTCTATTTTGCCAAAAGCTCTGAGGGCAACTGGAAGTGCATCTGCTGTCTCCCTGAACTCCTCCTCCTTTGCTTCCAATGACAGCCTGGACAGAGAGCCTGGGAAGTGATTTACTTAGTAGTTTGTCCCTTTTATCAACACAGTCTAAGTAGAAGCTGCAACAGTGGCTGTGACACATGTCTCATGGAACTAATTAAGGTCCTTAAGCCACTTCTTCTCTGAGTCATAACTCAATTAAATTTTAACAGACATGATACACATACTTTTAGATTCAGTCTTACTTACACTGTTAGAAGATAACGTTGTCTCCAACACTCACGGCTGATAAGCTTTCATTAATCCACTTAGAATTTATAGAAAAAAGACACTCCTCATATCTCCAGAACTTGCCTGAGAATCATCTTGTTTTAAAGTTTTCTTCAGTTCAAAAGTAATTCAGTGATAGTTTTCTATAAATTCATGGGTACAAACATCTTACAAACTACTGCAAACAAGAACAGCTAGTAGTAAATTTATACTTTCATACTTTTACTTTTGATGGCAATTTGCTGAAATTTTAACAAAATGGGTCTCATGTTGTATCTAAGTCACTGTCTCCATAGCAACATTATATTTCCTGATTATATCTGATCTATTATGGTACATCTGTTATTCTCTTTTTGTCTGCAGGTCTTAAACTCTGGTCCCAGCAGGTCAGTAGATACTGTGGTTGACATCGTGTTACCAAAGATCCTCGCACCGTACCGACACAGACTACTGCAGGTGGTCGACTGGCAGGTGTGTGCACTAACGGTACCAGTGGTAGCAGGAATGGTAGTAGTAGTAGAATGAAGTTCACAGGTTTTATAGATATATAAGTGTTTGCGTTTACCACTTGCAGCCACCCTTCTCAGATACTGTAACCCGAGAATTGTGGTAAAGAGGGCATGAGCCTGAGGTGGGGCAAGCAACCTGCAAAACCATGGCTGAGTGTAATAGGTTGAGACAGCTGTAACTAAGGCAAACATGCACCTAAATACCTCTTGTAAGCTTTAATCTTCATGGAACAATGATTCTGAAAATCTCCACTCAGACTTACATTAGAGGAAGTAAAATGAACTACTGAAACTTGTTGTAGTTGTAGAACAAAATGTACTCACATTGTATGTCTCGAGAGGAGCTGGGGATTTTCCTATGCACATGAAAACAGTTTTTTTTTGCAACAGCAACTAGTGGCCATTAAAGGAACTGCTACAATAAAAGTCATTTAACCCCAAACTAAGTTTCAAAAACAACAGACAGTGTGAATCAACAGTTTAGACATTCAGCACCTGATTCACCAGCAGATGATAAGGACAATGCCATGGACACATTTTGGTTGGTACCACACAACATGTTGACATTCGATACCCAGCCCTGGGCTTCACACAAATTTTGGGCTCATGCATTGGCCTAAACATGCAGCCATGGTGATTGCTGATTGGGTAACAGATTTGGTAATGGTAGCAGTCGCGGTTAAAGTAGCAGTAGAAATACAGTAGAAACTGTGGTAAAAGTTGTAAACATCAGTGGTAGAAAAGTGTGTGTATAATATTGATATGTTTAAATTAATTCTCTCTGTCTGCAGTCATCTCATGGTGTGTGTTCGCTCAGTGACACGACTGTTTCAGTCATCGAGGACTGTGCCGTCCCTCAAGCCTCCTTCATCAAACAACTCATCTTCTTTTTCTCCTCCACCTCCACCCGCAGAATGGTACACACACACCCAACACAGACAGACATGAACACACACTATACCTAACTTAAACTTACCTCCTTCACAAAGATAGCAATACAAGTAAATAAAGCCCTATTAATTACTCTGCTCAGAATTACATAATGCATTGTTACCTTGAAATGTTCACTGCCAGTTGAATATAACATACTACAACTCCCAGAGAGCATTGCTGTAAGAAACTTTGAATTTTATTGCCATGTGACTAATGATGGGATGAAGTTAGGGGCTGAACTTTGTACAACTCTGTAAAATGAATTTACCTTTTAGACTAATATTATATAGCTAACATAAAACACATGTTTACAACACAATGATTTCATTCTTCTTCATAGCAACAGCTGCTGAGGCTCAAGGCAGGGTAGTATTTACAGCCATTCTATTCAAACTGAGGGGAAAAATGTGATTTGTCAGTGGGGTTACTGTTGAAAAGGAGACATCACTATAAGAATTTACAGTGGGAGAAAAGTACATTTCACTGCTGAACAGAATAGTTCTTCAACAGCCTTGCATTTATGACTACAGTCTGATGATGCTAGATGGAAAGTCAGGATCACAAAAGTTATTGTAATTCATCCTACGGAGGGGCAGAAATATCTGTACCAGATGTTTTGGCAGTGCATCCACATGTGGAGAAATGTCACAAAAAAACATGTGCCAACCTCATGGTGTCAGTAGGGCACACGTTCTGGTGACTGTACAAAGTTTTGTGCTAGTTCATCCAGTCGTTAAGATTTTTCAGTCTGGACCCTCAGAGCCTTGGTGCTAGTGTGTAGTGTGTGTATGTGTTTTTCAATATATTTCTATACGTGTGTGCAGTTTTGTGGCCGTGGTGATGAGCTGTGCGAGCGGCTGGTGTGTCGTCTTGGCAACCTGGAGGCGGGGAGAGATGCCACCATCCAACTGGAGACCAGACTGAACCCTGCTGTACTACTGCAAGCTCCGGTAACACACACACACACACACACACACTAGAAAAACACCTAAGCAACATTGTGAAGTTTTCTGGATTTCTGAGTTTTCACTGACTCAACATTAAGTTGAGGAGTTCACCTAACCAGCTCATGGTATTTCAGTCATTTATGTTCATCTACACAGGTGCTACTTTAATCAATACAACTAAGCACATTTTCATGCTTTAAGTCTATTTTCTCTTGTTCTGTGTGTAACTTCTGTGGCTAACTGTGCCCCACAGAGATGGGGCTCATGCATGTGTACCCAGTTCTACAGTGACTGAATTTGATAAAACAGAACCAGGTGTAGGCACAGCTTTAGACATCTGACAACAAGCATGTGCATGCACATTTCTGTCTTTGCGTGTAGAGTTTTACTCAGGAATCTTCAGAGTTTTATGCAGCTAGACCCTGATGTCTGTCTTTGTGTCTCTGTCTCAGGGTCGTCACGGTTTCATGAAGTTGGAGAGCACAGCGATGATATCATCTCCCAAAGAAGATCCTCACACCGTCCTCATCCAGAAACACCCTCAAGCTCAGGTAAATCACCCTGCAGCCAATCACAAGCAACAGCTTAACCAATCAAAACAAAGGTTTCACAGCTCAGTGCCAGAGTGTAGAGTCACACTTAATCACATTTGGAACGAGTCCCTCATGGGAGTTGTAGTTGTTAAAAGTAATCCTAATGCAATCTGCTGTATATCCTATGTGTTACTAATAATCATATATTGTATGTGGTACATTTCTAGGTGGTGGTTGAAGCTCTTTTTACCCAGAAACCCTCAATGACAGTGAAGATCTTCATTATTGTCGTCAGTTTAGTTTTGGGTCTTTTGATCTTGGCTGGTCTCATCTGGTGTCTGTGGAAGGTAAAGATATTTTTTAACATAAACACCTCTGATAAACCAACATCTCACGTTAATAACATTTAATGGTTGAAGAAAAAACATGTAAGTGCTCTCTGGTGAGAAGATGGAGGATTTCTAAATTGTACTTTAGATCTTTGGTATTTCTATATTGTTATTTCATTTTACTTACCGTCACACACATGATAATTATGATATTGACCAAGATGCTTCTCGTGTCACACTTATTCCAAACTTCAGCTGTATTGTACATATGAACTACAGATATCGTAATATACTGTGCTAGTAAACTGCAGTATGTTGCAGTATACTTCAGTGATAGACTGCAGTACACTGTAATATAATGAATTGATAAACTGCACTATATTGCAGTACAATATACGGATACACTGCACTTACCGTATTCATAAACTGTAGTATATATTAAAATAATGTCCTGACAAACTGCAGTGTATTGCAATATAATGATACTAATAAACCAAAGTCTATCACAATATAATGGCACCAGTAAACTTCAGTATGTCCCGATACAATGGTCTGAATATTTGCTGTATGATGTGCAGGTAAACCACAGTATATTGCAATATAATGGTACTTACAAACTGCAGTATATCCCAATATAATAGTAAAGATTAACTGCAGTGTATCCCAATATAACTGCTATAGCAACACCAGCTTCATTTTTTCACTGTCTGTCTCTGTCCGTCTCTCAGGCTGGTTTCTTCAAGAGGGAACTTCAGAAGAAGGAGGAGGAGCTCAGGAGACACAGCTGGGACTACGTTCCCAAAAGCAGCGACAGAGAGAGCTTTTCCTAACTGTCACTTCTACCCCATGACCTTTGACCTGTGACTGTAAGGTGGCGTTCATATTGTGACTCTGCAGCAGTTTTAATGAGACATACAGCATATTCGGACAGACAGCGAACATCAACAGCCAATGATATCTGTACAGACTGTGTCAGAAGTTTGAAGTCAGACCTGTCTGAGTGTGGAGGATGATGATACATGTCTCAAGTGAATGCCTCCTGAACACACCAGAATCTGACCATCACCTTTTAAATTATTTTGCCTGATGTGCCTTCACAAATGCAGACAAGTATAAAGACTGCAGCGGCGAGTGGATGGAGGATTAATAAAAAGGGAAGTAAATCTGAAACGATCATATTTGGACCAATTGGAAGGTCTCAGGGATTCCTGGAACCATGACACTGTTATTGATGGCCTCCATTTTGACTCTTCTAAGAGGATACAAACCAAAGGTAGTGACCCTCAGTCTCAGGGGATGGAAACCTGGCCTCTGATTGGCTCATAACTCTCTGGAAGATCTCCCTTTTGTCTGTCTATATAATCTTTCTACATTTTTGTTTACCTGCTGACCAACACTTTATGCACTGGAGACAAACAAAGAGAAGACTCACTGACTGTGCACACACCAGATGTCTATCCAGACAGAAGAAATTGTCAAGTGCTGGCAGCCGGGGCAACGTGTTTATGCAGCAAACAATCAGCGCGGGAGTTTTCACTCTGAGATTTGTTTGAGTTTCTGATCACAACATCATTTAAACCAGCAAAATGTCGCACATTGGATTCACTCATGTGGTCAAGTTTTTGTGACAATTTCAACTTTGGTGAACTTTGTCACACGGTTTTGCAGCGTTAACCAACAGCGAGTCGTCTTGACAGTGCTGACCTGTGATGGAACAGAGTTGGCCGAAATGGAGGAAACTCTTCTTAGCTGTGTTGCACCATCCATTTTTATTTAACCCTCTTCTGCTCCAGTGAAAAGATCTGCAGACCGTTATGAGACAGAGCTCGAGAACACAAGTACGTCTTTTGCCTCTAACTGTCATTGACACAGTAAGTGACAGGTGATGCTTGTGCATTAGCTTGGAGAGCTTTTTCCATATATAACTTTTTTTTAAATAAAATGAACAATCCTGAGAGCAAAACGCAAGTGTGAGGTAAACGGCCCAGAGCAAGACAAATAGAAAAGTTTGTTAAGCAAGTTGTCACTAGATGGTTTTCATTTGGCTAAGATGGCTCTTCTCCTCCCTCACTTGTTTTAGGGATAGAAAAAACACTGGGTGGTATACACATTGCATCAGGGCAAAGAATGTGACAAATAGAAAATGAAACAAATAGAAAATTTGTTCATAGCTGAAAGAGCAGAATGGATGTGAAGAAGCAATAACAACAGGTATAAATATTCAGAATAAAATTTGTAGATCACAGGTACAGTTATGTCTGACACCTTTTTCAGCCCCTGGATGATATTTTATAATTAATGATAACCACAACTTTATAACAGTACTTCTCTTTCTAAATGAGCAAAGCTGCACTTGAAACGTAAAATAAGAAGTTTTAAGAGTTTTCAGATTTTGCACACGATATTTTTTATTTTATGAATAAACAGCCGCCATGGTATCTTTCAATGGGGTGTTTTTCCTAATCTACAGTACAAAACATGTAATATTATTATTATTCCACAGCAGCTCAAACTAATAAGAAACATTCACGTTGAAGTGGCGTAGCAATTCTTTAAAAAGATTTTTGCAAAGGACACAGGATTGTGTTCAGGGGTTGTAGGAAGGGAGGAAACGTTTGCAGAATGGAAAGGAGCCACTGTCAAAACATATGGATGAATATGGATGAATTTCTCTGTGCCATACCATTCACACTTGGTTTCTGTTCTTCTGATCTTCTGCTTATGTAGTCCGCTGTGCAACTGTTTAACGCTGCTGTGAGGAAACAGTTCTATGTAGGAAGAGGAAAAAAACAAGCACTTCTTCCTTGAACAATCGTCCTAGGAACACGTCATTTGACAAGTCAAGTCTGCCTTGAATGGCTTTTGCTGGTCGACTGATCTCAGACCAGGTGGTTCAGGTGAACCCAGGTTCAGTTTCTTGGTCGACTCCCTGGTTTGTAAGAAGCTTGAGTGTTTTTATTCTTAATTGAAACACTTGTGGATTCAGACTGAAATTTGAGTGGGAAAGCACAGTAAAAGTAAAAGATGCGACTTGGGTCACACAGACAGCAACACACTGAGCCACAGTGTTGAATAGTGGAGGACTACTTGAAAATCAGCATTTAAAAATGTTTAAGGTATTACAAGTATTAAAAAGCATTGTTTTTACTGTCTCTATTCTGTGAATGAAGACAGTTGAAACAGCTGCTACTTTTCCCTTCTGTTTATCTATTTAGTACAAATGCACATCACACAGAAGTTTTTAATATTTTAATGAATTAGTTTGTTATTGTTTTTGTGAACTTGTTCTGCACTGGAGAGTCTCACTGCTTTTATCAACACTTTTCTATTAAAATTATTTTCTATTTAAACAACAACTTGTACATGTTTCTCTCTCATCGTGATCACAGCAGTTATTCTAAAAATCAGCATTATCTCTAAACAAAACTTCAACATAATCTGTTATCAACATCTGTTATATTCACACATAAAACTTTTACAGTCTTTAGACACAATGAAGTCATCCTTTCTGGCTCTGCAGCAGTGTTGTTGCTGCAACACATGCAGAACCAGAAACTGGACGAGATAAAACAAAAAATTAAACTTGTAATAAAAAAATATGCAACAAAAATTAAAGTCAAGTCATCTGAGAAAAGCTGGTAATTAAAATATGGAAAAATATAAACATTAATTTGAATATAAAATATGAATCGTTATGCTCAACGATTGGAGTGACAGTAGCATAAAATTTAAGTTAGTGGTTATTAAAACTGCAATAATGTGGGAAAAAAAATAAATTGTTGCAGCAACAGGAAGATGCAAAACTTTCTATTTTTGAGTCTTTGCTTCTTTGAATGAAAGTTCACTATTAGTTCACAATCGCCATGGAAACCGTAATGACCTAAAGGCCACTGTTGAGGCATTGTGGTTACCATGGCAACGTGTTTTGATCCCAACAAACAAACACAGCGCCTTCAGCTGGACTCAGATGCAGCTGCAGGAAATAGTCGACTCAGCCTCGTCCACTTCCTCCCCATACAAAGTGATGAGCCGCGGGTGTACCCTGAACGCACCATGAGCACACACACACACACACACACACATTAGATACAGGTGCAGTTTAAGTCCTGATATTGTCAGTCTGCTTTTCAATATAATGTGACATAATGAGATAAAAATGTAAAATAATGTAACAGGCATGGCGCTGAGTGCATTGAAAATGACATGAAAGAAAACTTCTATAACAGGGAAAGTGTTAATGCAAACATTTTTTTAAAGGTGTACTCCAGTGATTTAGTTTTGCACATCCGCAAAGTTGGAAGAGACAGGTTTATTTTAGGCTAAAATAGAAGAAGCAGAGGTCGAGATGTCCAGACTTTTATGGGCTGTACACAAATTTGGTCTCAATAACCGGGACAGTGACAAGCTGCTGTTTATTGTGTAAGGGAACTGGTTTAGTATGGAGTCATAGGAGTGCTATACAAAAGAAAGAACAAAGAATCTCTTAAAGAATAAGAAAATTAATGTGGGAATATAAAGTCAAATGACCAAATTATATTCATTTAATTTATTTTCACATTTATTTTTTTAAACATTTCTGTATATTCATATATTTTAAAATATTTTAATTTTTGTATGTTTTTATATATTTAATTTTTTAAAATCAATTTTTCTATAATGTAATTTTCAGCCCATTATTCTTCATGACTGTTCCCTGTTGGTTTTGCTTTTCGATGTAGCATTTGATTTTCCCTTTTGCATTTTTGGAATTGTAACAGGTATTTTTCACTATGTTCTAAAATCAATCAATCAATCAATGCATCAAGAAAATAGCTGGCATGTTAATCAATAATTAGGTTAATCATTAGTTGCAGCCATGTTTCACTCAGTGCAATAATACACTGTTATATATGATATTATGATTATTATAAGATTTATTTTCTTTCAGGAGTAAACAATCATAGTACCTGATGAGCACTTCGTTAGCAATCTCCACCAGCTCTCCGTCGATATTCCAGGGGAAGGCGGCTCCCTCTGATTGGATGATGGGCTTTGTTTTGGAGTCGCCTTCCTCCTCGCTCTCCTCCTCCGATAAGCCAATCACTGAACGGGGGCGGATCCTCACCGCTGACACGGCGTGCGTTTCCACGAAAGAGAAGCTGAACTGCGGATGGACAATCAGACAGTCAGAAAGACAAACAGACAGGAGTGTGTGTGTGTGTGTGTGTGTGTGTGTGTGTGTGTGTGTGTGTGTGTGTGTGTCAAAGGTCAGCTGAGGAGGTCAGAAAAGCTTGTTAACATCCTTGTTAAGCAGCTTGTTAATCTGCAGCAGTGACTGGGTTCCTTCCTGTTTAACTGTCCTGTTGTCCCGACTCTTACATCATGAAACTCCAACAGGGGGCAGCAAAGACTGACAGACAGACCAACTGTGTTTTCTTAAAACAAAGCTGAAAAGATGGCTTGACAGTTTTTCAAGTCTGTCTCATGACAAAAGTCGAGTGTTTGCCTGATTTGCCTGTTTCCTGAGAATTTCCATTTAGTGGCACTTTCTACTTCTACTCTAGTGTATCCCTGAGTATGTATTCTATATATTGTACTCCACTACATTAATTTGATAACTTTAGGTACTTTATTAGGACAAAACATTTCAAAATCTTTTAAATATGATGCACTGCAAAAAAAACACTGAGAAGTATCTCAAATTTGAGCTTAAATGAGTAATTGATTAATTGATTGCATTTATCAAAAGAAAAATAGCCAGTGATTAATTGTTTCTTTATGTGGTTTCAGTTTCTCTAATATGATGATCTGCAGCTTCTTTACAAGACATACAGTACTTCTCTGATAAATTTTAAAGGGCATTTCTTGCCATTTTATCATGTTTTACAAAAGAAACGAATGGATTGAAATAACCAGCGTATTAAAAAGACCATTACTTATATCTTTATATAAAATAGTTAAAAATGAGATCTCATCCAACTCCAGGAGTAAAATTCTGTTTAACATTAATCTCATGATATTTACAGATACTTGCAGACTTTTAAGTAACATTTTCAATGTTGAGTATTTTTACACAGCGGTAATAATACTGTTATTTAAAGGGTCTGAATACTTCCTCCACCTCTGTAATAGCCAGGTGTCCATAAGACCCCTGCAGCTCAGCACAGAAACACAAACAGGATTTTTTTGGACTAAAAAGCCAGTGACTTTGGAAAATACGTACTTAAATTAAATATAAACAAAGATGTGTCTAAGTCTGGTTTTCAGATCACACTGCTATAAATTCTGGTTTGCTTTCAATTTTTCACACAGCCCTCACCGGGCAAGACTGACTCAGGTGAGGTTCAGCGTCCACAGTGGGTTGTCACTGTTACATGGCTCCTGCTCCACCAGGATGCCATGTCTTGTCATGTTTGACAATGAGCTGTCCGTCCAAATGTAGGTCAGTGAGTAAACAGCCTGTTTACTAAACAGCCTGTTTACTCACTGTTGCCGCACTGTCAGTATATTTAGTAAGTGGGTTAGTGTGTGGTCTGCCAGGCCGGGCCGGGCCAGGCCACGCTGAACCAGGCTAATCTATTCATTAACTGGTTTGAGGACAGCGAGGTCGAGAGTGAGCAGTGGTGAAAGAAGTACTCAGGTCTTTCTGTTAAGTTCGCTGTTGAAGGTGTGGCTACTTTTTTCTTTAAGTACTTCATGTACTGCTTTGCAGCTTGTCAATTTCCCTCCAGGGATCAATAAAGTCTTATCTTAACATGTAATCATACATCATCATTTATTTGTTGATTACATTTTGTATTATAAATCTGAATCTGCAAAGTAACTAGAAAACTAAGATCAGAAAAATCTAGTGGAGTAAAAGATGAAATATTTGTTGTGGAATAGTAGGAGTAGCAGAAAATAGAAACTCTCAAGTACAAGTACCTTAAAATTGTACTCACAGTACAGTACTAAGAGTATTTACGGTGCTTGAGTAAATGTACTGAGACACATTAGGGATGAGATCAGATAATGCCTCCATTTTGGATCCAGTTCCCGGTAGGCTGATTCCTAAAGCGCTGATACTAACAACTCTCTTATCAAACCTTTGAAGTCTCCTCACTGTTTATTTGCAAAGAGGAATGGAAAATATACAAGTAGTAGCTTCTCATTTTTAGCCAAATGTCTCTGGTTAAAATGACAAACATCCCTGACAGCAGATTAGATCAGCTGTAGCTAATAACATTACTTCAGTGAAAACTTTGTCTGTTCTCTGGTTAATTGCTCTCTGGAGCCGGTGTCTGTATTCAGCCAAAGATAGTTTGTGAGTGAAAGACACATCACTCTTTAACACCACTTTATGACCATGAGTGGACTGTTTGTAGTTCAACAGGGGCAAACAGAGAGCTGACTCTTCTGCAGAGAAATGATCAGCCGTTCACCTCATCGTCATCTTAAACCAGCAATGACTCATCTTTTTCGCCACTTGAGGGCAGTGGATACAAGCTGTGAACGCAACATTGACATTTCATCATCTTTTTAAGTACGTATGGCAAACTTCTAATCAGCCATCTTAACAGCTGCTTAACCAAACATCCAGCAGACATGAAGCAATGTAATGTGTCTTTTAGCTCCGTTTTTTGTCTCCACCAACTCTTGTTCTTTAGCTGCTGAATGCTCTGCAGTGTTCACAAGCTACTGTACAGTGTGTTTGTACAGTGTGCGTGTGTGTGTGTGTGTGTGTGTGTGTGTGTGTGTGTGTGTGTGTGTGTTTACAGTTTTTCCCCCACTGAAAACAGCTGTCTGCTGAGACTCAACATGAAGCTATAAAAGTGGTGAGTGTGAATCAAGTTGTGGTCCGGAGATAAACAATGAGCTGCAGATACAGGTGATAATTCTCTGTAGTTTCATCACTACACCTGAGCAACAACTTTCACACATGTCATTTTATACACTATAAAATTATTGATTATATCTGCCTCGAGTGGATTTAATACTGCATAAAGACAGAGGACTGTTTGATCGACAGCTGTTCTCACCTGTCCGCTGGAGCTGCTGTATCTCTTCAGGTGTTTGACGAACTCTGACCTGGAAGTGTTTCCCACTGCGATCAGTGCCGCGCTGCCATTTGCCAAACTGCCACAAACAGGAAGGAGGAGGAGGAGGAGGAGACAGTTAAGGTCACACAACATAGGTGACTTTACACAACTGCTCGTCATACACCTGTGTACCTGGTGTTGGGAGCCAGGCCTCGAGGAGCATGTGGACTCAGGCAGGGGATGGACATGATGCTGACGCTCAGATACAGCCCCTGATTGGTCGTCCAGGACTCCTCCCCCTCTGCATCAGCAAATCAAAGAAAGATGAATCATGAAGACGGACTGCTTGGTGGCGACCAAAACCTGAACCAGCTTTGATCTTTTGTCCAGAAACAGTCTCCAACCAAAGACAGGCAAGTACCACTCTCACCTGAATCTGGATCCTGGTCCAGGTCCTGATCCTGGTTTCTGAGAAAGGAGATCAAACTTTGTTTTGAACATGACTGACAGCCACATCAGTGGTTTAAAAGTGAATGTACTGTGTAATACAGCACTAATACACTGGCTAAGTGGGAGTTCAGACCGCAAACAGACTGTTAATTTTTGTTTGACATTTTGGGAAATAAATTTATTCCCTTTCTTGGCACCTGTCAGATGAGAAGACTGATACCACTTCATATCTGTGTGATAAATATTACGTTTTTGTATTGATTAAACAAACAAGATGTAATATGTTAACTAGTGAGCCAGGCTAGCTGTTTCCCCCTGTTTCCAGTCTTTATCCTAAGCTAAGCTAACTGGCTGCATATTTACCATACAGACATGTGAGTGGTATCAGTCTTCTCGTCTAACTTTCAGCAAGAAAGCAAATAAGTGTATTTCCCAAAATGTCAAACCATTCTGGGACTGTTGTAACTTGGTTTGGTAACTTCAGGTACTGGGCCTGATGCGAGCCGGATGGATCGGCCCATGTTTGGACAAAAATTTAGAAATTATGTTCTTGTGTTTCTTACCGACGTTCAAACAGATTCGTGGTTGACTTCTTCGTTGGTAGGAAAGACAGCTGACAGTCCTCTGGTCTGAGTGAGACAGAGAAAGAAATGTGAGAAATAAAAAAAATAAAAAAGCACCACAACATTCTTAGTTTTGAATCTAAATTCGGGTAAATTTTATTTATTTAGCCAAAATCACCATTTTATCTTTGAGGGATTTCTGAACATATGGATCTGAGATTAAGATAAGAAAAAAAAAATTCAAATTGGTTTTTATAACTTTAAAAGATGTATTTGTGTTACCTTAGTCTAGCCAGAGTCTTCACCAGAGCGTACTCTCGTCGTCGCGATGATGGCATCCACCTCTTCTTCTCTGCCCGTGCTAAGCTGCGCCCACCAAAGCCAAACATGGCGGAGAAACCAAAACACACCAACTGTCCGAGAGAGGAGAAGCTGCACATGTCCACCTGCTGCAGGTGACCTGTAGGGTGAGGGGGTGAGAGGAGGGGGGTTAAATACAGATGTTTGAAAAAGATCCTTGTGATGATGAATAATAATTAGAAATAAATTAGGATCACACACACACACATACACACACACACACACACACACACACACACACCCACACACACACACACACACACACACACACACCCACACACACACACACACACACACACACACACAACGAACAGCCTGTAAGGAGGCCAAGTGGTCTTATGGTGAGAAGCTCATTAATATTCATGAGAAGCAGCACTCCAAATACGGGCGACAGAAGGAGGTCAGGAGTGTGTGTGTGTGTGTGTGTGTGTGTGTGTGTGTGTGTGTGTGTGTGTGTGTGTGTGTGTGTGTGTGTGTGTGTGTGTGTGTGTGTGTGTGTGTGTGTGT